CTCCAGGGTCACCCATTTTATATATTTCATGAGTTCTTTGTTTTTCAGTGCTGCATAATATTCCATTTTGTGAATATACTACAGGGTTGTTTTTTTTTCCATTCATTTGTTAATGGACACTTGGATTGTTTCTAACTCTGTGCTGTTATGAACAAACCAGCAATAACCATGGGTGTGCATATATCTGTTCAGGTGGCAGTTCTGGTTTCTTTAGGGTATATTCCCCGTAGTGGAATAGCTGGGTCAAATAGTATTTTTATTTCCAACTTTTTGAGAAAGAGCCATACTGTCTTCCAGAGTGGTTGTACCATTTTATACTCCCACTAACAATGATTAAGTGTTCCAGTTTTTCTACAACCTCACCAGAATTTCTTGTTTGCTGCTTCGTTGAATATTGCTATTCTTACTGGGGTGAGCTGATTTCTCATAGTTGTTTGGATTTGAATCTCTTTTAGAGCTAGGGATTTTGAACATTTCTTCATGTGTTTGTTTTCCATCTGAATGTCTTCTTTGGTGAAGTATCTGTTTAAATTCTGTGCCCATTTTGTGATTGGATTGTTTACCTTTATCTTGTGGTGCTCGAGTAGTCTATAAATTCTAGATATAAGTCCCTTACAATACAACAACCTCTTGATCTATATATAGGTTCCACATGAGCACAATTAAGTATTCGGAGATTTCCATTCTTCTCAATGTTAACCATAATTTGTTATATTATATACAGTCAAATATCTTTGTATGGTCAATAAAACATAAACATCTTTTTATTATTCTCTGCCTCCAGTTAAGATCTATATTGATATTAGCAATGATATTCCTTGTCCTAAGGCCTCCTTGTTAATGTACTGTCCAAGATTTTACTTGCATTTGATATTAATTCTTTTATTGGATAATTTATACATTGTGTTTAATTTTTTTTTTTTTAGAATAGGAAGAAATAGTAATTTCTTCTCGTCAGTTAGCCAAGTTGTTATCTCCCAACTTTCTTGGTCTGGAGTAATAATCATGTCCAGGGCTGTTTCTGTTTTGTAAATATGTTTATTGGTATTCTATCAATTCCTGTGGCCACATATTACATACTTACAGAATTTGTCCTAAACTACTGATAGAAATAATTTAACATATTAATAAGATTTTTAATCTGGTTAGCATTACATTTCCTTCACCTCTATATTTAAAAATATAATGGTCTCAAGTATTTCCCCTACATACATTGAATATGCTGTTGTTGTTGCTGTTATGTGCCATCAAATCACTTGCAACTCATAATGACCCTATGTACAACAGCCCTAAACCATTCTCTATCCTGCGCCAATCTTACTGTCTCTGACATACTTACGACCATTAGCTCATTCACTGAGTCAATCCATCTCATAAAGAGTCTTCCTTTCTTACACTGTCCCTCAACCCTCCCAAGTACAATATCCCATCCCAAGGATACATATGTAGAAATATGACTTGCCAAATGTAAATTGTCATGGGTAGTCTTGTTAAAATATGCATACCTGTTTGTCTTGCTTTTCTGTTTATGTGTCCTCTCAGAGATTAATGTCTGTTGTAATTGATAATGCAAGATTAATATATGTAATAGCATTTAACCTTATTCCATAACTTTTGTATATTTTACCTACTTCCTTTTCTCTGATAATGTTGTGTTAATCATCTTTTTTATACTTGTTTCTCCACCACAAAATATAATAAATACCTCATTGTCATAATATGAAGACTAAACTGCTGAAATTGTATTTAATCACTATTTCTCTAGTTAAGTGCATAACTAGAAGTAGTGGGCTACCATGAAGTACTATATTCTGCCAGGGACAAGAATCCTAACTCTGCTTACATTTTAGAAATCTCTCCCAAAATTTCTCACCTATGGATTCTTTTTTGATGATGTGAGTTAATTTCTTTTTATTTTATCTTAACTGATTGGATGCCATTTTTCTTCCTTCAGTAATATATAAACTTACTAAAATGAGTAAGAATTATTTTACTTTTCTTAATTTTACCAATATTTAGTGCAATGTTAAACACAGTGCAAGTAATTTTTAAGTTCCCAGGAAATAAAGAAGTAATTAGAACTAACTATCGTGCATGTTTCTGTTGAAAGCAAGAGTGAATTGAGTGAGGACTAGGAACTCTGCATTTACCTCATTCATGGACTGGAGATGAATTCTGCAAGTTTTAAATCTCTAGAGATTTCCATGAGAGCTGAGAAAGTTACATGTTATAGAAAGCCATGTAACTAATGAGCACAAATTACAAAGTTAGAAAAGAAAGTTCTCTGCTTTCTGTGATGAGGAGAGAGATAATCCCCGATGGTCTCCTAAGCAGAACCAAACCTCTAGAGCTGAGCAATCTCAAACCTTGATGATTAACAGAGGATATCTTTAAACTGGAAAGATGAAAACTTACAAATTATTTTAAATTTAGAGTGTAGTGAGAATTGATCACTGTACATTTGGCCTAACCTCACAAGCCAAGTCCTAAAACTATAGATAGAAAACTGAAATTTTCACTGAGTTCAGCCTCTTTTCCGCTATGGAAATTTAGGAGTATAAAGTTCAAGGATATTTCAACTTTATTAAGGTAGACATGATAAAGTGAAGAATTCAAACTGTTAGGTCAGTTCTTTTCATACTAATTCAATCTATTATCTCTTGAGGGTAGAACAAAGTATATAGCCAACAATGTGAATACTGTTTTCTTTTAAAGAATATACCTGGGAATATACAGTGAACTGGCTTTGGAGCACTGAAAAACTACATAAGGTAGGAAATCACTCTTGATAAGGTGCTGCCCTCCCCATATAATTAATTGTCACTATAGAAAAATAGGGTTCATAGGATAAAACTGCATATTTTCCAAGTCATTTCTTTTTACGTTGGGAGAAGTATGCAGTGAGAGAAAGGAAACTGAGAAAGAGAAATAATCAATAGCAAAGATTAGGATAGAAATGTTTGAAATTTAAGAATGAAGATTTTTACCATGTTATGAAATCAAAACAATCAGATTGGGACCTATGAAGTAGAGTCTATTGGGTTGCGAATTATTTATGAAATATCTATAAAATTTTTTCCTATTGAATCTAATGATTCACTGTAACCAGGTGGATTCTGCTAAAGGATGCTTAATTTTGCCATGGGCTAATCTAATTATAGCAGAAAGCCTATCCATTCCCACATATCAGACTTTTCTTTTTTACATTGTTTTATTTGAATAACAAAACGAAGCAATTTTTTTAACCTTAAGTCCTATTTTTAAATATTAGCCCATTTATCCAACATTTATTGTACATTGTTGTTGTTGTTGTTATGTGCCGTCCAGTCGCTTGCGACTCTTAGAGACCCTATGTACAACAGTCCTAAACTCTGCTCTGTCCTGTGCCAATCGCACCGTCTCCGACACTCCCATCCCGATTATCTCGGTCATTGAATCAATCCATCTCATAGAGGGCCTTCCCCTCCGTGCTGTCCCTCCACCCTCCCAAGCATGATGTCCTTCTCCAAGGACCGGTCTCTCCTTACAACATGTCCAAAGTATGTTAGATGGAGCCACAGAATCCTTATTTATGTTATATATTATCTTCTTATAATTTATATACTATATTATCTTCTGTTTATTTTATGACTAAGAAATACAGAAATATATAATTCATATTGTTGTGTGCTGAACAACTTTTTTTTTTTTTTAAACTGACCCACAGCTGACACTCCGATGGGTTTTCAGGGGCAAAAACCGCTTGGGGGAGGAGATTGCTCATCCTTCTCCTGAGTCTCTTTTCTTTCTTTTCCTAATGAGGACACTTTGGAAATTTAGAAATAGAAGGGAAGTACAATTAACATTAAAAGAATTTGTCTCTAATTCCATATATTTTACCACCTAGGAACAATTACCTCATTTGTAAAAATAAATAAAATAAAAACAAGCTGCCTAAAGCAAATCATAGCTGTTCTATGCAAAATATACTTATGTAAAAAAAAGAATAAAATTGATAAAGAAATTTAAAGAATTTGGAAGTAAAAATAGAATTTAAAAATGTTAGCTTTTACACTTGATGACATAGCATAGGGCAATCAAAGGTTCTATATAAAAGATGTCAGAGAGAAAGGGTTAAATATAAAAATATTAATATGCTGAGGAAGGCAAGAGGATATCACTAAAAGATGAATATTTGTTACAGGATTCAAAGTGACAATATATAATTTATTTTTTAGGATATTATCTTGGAGTTAAGAACAAGCCAAAATCTTAATTGTACTTTGAAATATTGTTACATAAAAGGTTTCTTTAACAATACAACCATAAACTCTGATTAATCATTATTAATACTAAGGGCCCTGAGATATCCTGTCTTTATTCTTTTTCTCTCCTAAGATTAGAATTAAGGAAGTAAGGGCTTTAACTTTACTGTTTTAAAATCCAAATTTCTTTCCAGAAAGAGATAATTATTTTAGGCTTAATTAAACACTGTAAACCATTTTTAAACAGGGTTCCAAAGTTACTAAAAAATAACTCTCATTTCACTCAGTAGACATTCATGAACCACGTACTTTTTTTGATGTTACTCTGTCAGGGCCTAATTATAAAATATACAACCATGAGTTGTTTCATTGTTCAGTTCTTGAACTGTTTCCACAAGTATACCTGAATCCTCTTCTATGAGATAGAATTTGGGACAATTATGCCTCTATTATATTACTGGATAATTGAATTATTTTTAATGGCCACAGTGAATCTGTCCAGGCATTTACTTAATTGGACAACTAATAATTTCTTCATGAGTAAATGAAGGAATAAATGGAGGGAAAAGTATCAGCTGTAAAAATATGGTACTAGGCTAAATGAAATACCAATCAGTAACTGGAATTCTTTATTGACTTGCCTTTTTCATACCATATATGTCTTATTCATATCATATTCAATTATCATCTTATGATATCTACAAATATATTTTAAAGATTTGTTTTTGTTTTTCTTTTTCTGTTCTTTTTCTTTCAGATTGAAGACTTCATACTATGCAGATCAACGAAACTATTGTGAAAGAATTTATCCTTCTGGGCTTTTCTCTTTACCCAGATATAGAGATATTACTATTTGTGATCTTTTTTTGTCTATACTTTCTCACTCTCATAGGTAATATGATAATCATGGGTCTAACTTGTTTGGAAAAAGCTCTGCACACCCCTATGTATATCTTTCTAAGTGCCCTCTCCTTTTCTGAGACTTGCTATACATTGAGCATCATTCCTAAGATGCTAACGGATCTATTGGCCAAGAACAGAAGCATTTCTGTTGCAGGTTGTGGCTTACAAATGTTTTTCTTCTTGGGACTTGGGGGTACTCATACCATCATCCTCACTTTAATGGGGTTTGATCGCTTTTTGGCCATCCATAATCCTCTGAGATACCCATTGCTTATGACCAATATAGTGTGTGGACAATTTATAGCCTCTGCTTGGGCTGGAGGCTTCTTTATCTCTGTGATAGAAACAGTCCTGATATTCAGAGGCTTTTTCTGTAGTCCCAACCTTATCAAACATTTCTTCTGCCATATGAGGGCAGTTGTGAGACTGTCCTGCTTAGACAGTAACCTCACAGAATTCATTGTGACCTTGATCTCTATCTCAGGTTTATTAGGAACCTTCCTACTCATCATCCTCACTTACATCTTCATTCTCACCACTGTTCTAAGGATCCCTTCAGCGGAGGGCAAACAAAAGGCATTTTCCACTTGTGCATCCCACCTCACAGTGGTCATAATCCATTTTGGTTTTGCATCTATAGTTTATTTGACACCAGAATCTTCAAAGGGTGATGACACAATCATAGCTGTCCCATACACTGTTATTACTCCTTTCCTCAGCCCCATTATTTTCAGCCTCAGAAATAAAGACATGAAGAATGCTTTTCGAAAAGTGTTGGGAAAGATAATAGCCGAGAAAAAGTAATGATGTTATTTATTATGGGTTAATGCATTATTGAAGGTTTCCAGAAGGTAGAATGCCATTGACTCCATGATCTCAAAGAAACATGTATCATTAACTCTTTTCCAAGGATTAAGAAGATTACTGAGTGGATTTCTGAAATAGCAAAGTAAGTCCATCTGGGTGGAAGTGTAACCAGGATGCTTTTTAGAGACAAGAATATTAAAACTTCATCCTTGGGCATATTGTAAGGAGGAGCAGCTGTTGTTGACTGTGGTTGAGTTGAGCACGACTCAAATCCATCCTATGGACGAAAGACCTGAAGCCTTTCTAAAACGACTGTCTTTTCTCAAAGTCCTTAGGGTTTCCAGAGGCATGTTGTTTAGGAAGTGGGTGCCACTCAGAAAAGGGATTTTATACTAGTAAATGTGGAAGGCAAAAAAAAAAAGATAGGAAAACTCCCAACAAAATGGATTGACACTGTGTCTGAAAAAATGGGCTCAAGCTTATGAGATATTGTGATGATGGTGCCAGAAACGGAAAGATTTAGTTGTGTTGTTCACAAAGTCTCTGAGTTGTATAACACAACTGCACCTAATAACAGCAACACTAGCAAAGATATGGAAAACATTGACAAACTCTGAAGCCTAAGCAGTAATGTTGTTTAATATTTCTTCTTTCTACTATCAGAGGAAACATGTGTTAGAAGATTTAGTTCTGACATTCCATCTCTAAGTGTTTAGAGGAAAAAATATTTTAAAAAATACTGATTAAAATACTTAAACTTACAAAGGGTTTACAAATTTATCTAGGCAATATTACACAACACTGGGTTTCACTTTCCAGAGGATAAGTAATTTCTCGAGAGAAAGACACTATGCTATAACAATCAAACAAAAATGTATTTGCAATTGCCTGTCTATGTATATTTTTTAATGACTATGTTGTTTATGACAATGACCTTCCAATGACTATCAATTACTAAATTTTGAGCATGTGAGAAATCTTAAGACAAAGACTGAAGTGATCAAAAAGGAAATTGTCTTACATCTTTCATGCGTAGTGAAATCCAGGGGTAAGATCTGAAAATAAGCCACATTTTCAATAAAATAAAGATATTTAAACGCACTGTTAAAGAACTATGAATTAGTTTTGACATTTGAAAAAGAAAAGGGTGGATGATTTTGACAAATTACACAATGACTAAGGCAGGAAATCATATAACATATTAATAATTCTTAAAGAATTATCAGGAAAAATCTAGGAACATTTAAGGTGTTATATAGTAGAAGAACAATGAATAGTCTTAACAAAGATTCATATATACAAGCCTAGTGAAGTTCTTGTATTCTTTTCTCAGTTTAGTTGTTAACAACAATGTGGCCTGTCACGAAAAGCACAAATTTTGCACAGGAGTTTTGGTATATGTAGTTTATCTGCAAAGTATTGGAGCTTCTGTGCTCCATTATCTGTATGACTACTACTAAAACAAAATATGAATATAAAAAAGAAACTTCAAGCCATAATGTGTAACATTATCAGGTTGCTAACCAAAAAGTTGACAGTTGGAATTCATCAGCTGCTCTGGAGCAGAAGAGAGGTAATCTCTTCCTTTAAGGATTTTCAGCCTTGGAAACCCAAGAGAGTCTCTGAGGGTTATTGTATGAAAATTATTATGACACCAACTGATTTAGGTTAACCATTACCATGAGTATATCTCCTTTCTTAGCATATTTTACATGTCACATTTATAGATATAATCTCATTCTTCTTCAATGTGTGGTAACTGTTTTAATAATAAGACCGTCTATTTTTATTTTGAGAACTGGTGATCACTTAATAAGAGTAGAACTAAGCTCCATAGTGTTTACTTGATTGCAATTTTTATAGAAGCAGATCACTTGGGTTTTTTTCCAGTGCTACTGGGTATATTTGAATCACCAACATTAGGAAGTCAAAATATTTGTATCATAACATCTGATAAAAATACCAGTTTATTGAGTTGAGAATAACATCC